AAATGGTACAAAAAACGGGAGCTCCAGGGGTGGACCAATAGAATGAAGATTGACCTCATTTTAAAATCAGAATCCCATTTGAAAAACAGCAATAAGTTTTATATACCAAATTGACACATATATCGACAAGAATAGGGAAAACATGGGAGGAGAGGGAGTAGTTATACCTGTTAAGAGACATATAAAGCACTCATTAAATTTATCGAAATTTAAAAATCTAGAGACTACCGTCTATGCATCACTTTAAAATAACTTGGTTGAGCGTTATTATATCCTGTTATAAATCTCCTTGGAAAGAATTATTGAAGAAGAACTTAGATCAGTTATTTAACAATAATAACTCGGTCATTGTTTGTGGAGACCTAAATAGCAAGCATTCTTCATGGAATGACAGGAAGGATAATCCAAATGGTAAGATTTTAGGAGATCGGGCGGAAAATAATGGAATTTTCTTCCTCCTTTGAACCAACACATAGCTCAACTAGAGACTCCGTTGATGAGTAAAACATAGTTTTATTAAAGAAGATTTCTGTCCCTTTCATGAAGTATCATCAGACTTGACGGTGTCATTACTGAATGGGGGTTTATGTCGGGCCAAGACAAAAAGGAATAGAGGTAACCAATTGGATTCTTTTCAAAAACGCCGTGATTAATAACTTATCACTTTTTCTGATTCCTTTCTGTTCGTGTGAAATTGATGCTGCTCACTTATCTTCTGAAAACACCATAAATTACTCTTTTAACACATCAACAACTCAGAATATAGTAAATAACTTTAAATATATCATTCCCTCTCACTGTAAAGAACTTATTAATAAATGGAAAAGATTAAAAAGAATTTATGAAAAGACGGGCTCTATGTGTCCAGTTAGCCTTCAACAAAATAAGTAATGCGGTAAACGCGAATTAAATCCTTTTTTTATGACACCCTTTAGGATATTAAGCTAGGATCCTAAAATTCGTCCGATAATTATATATAGAATATGACAAAACCTTTTAAAACTCAAACTAGAATGATTGATTTATAACTTATATGATAAAGGATAAATAGTTTACTCCAATAAGGAAAAGATCAACACCTTCGCAGAAAGACTTGTCCCCTCAGCGCAAGTGCTCCACTGTCTTCAATAATACAAATGACTAATTCGTGCATAACCGATTACTATTTTACTTCCACAAAGACCCATCACCTATAGGTTCTCAGGTGTTTACGAATGAAAAGGATGTTCATTTGAAACTGATAAGATTAAAAGTAGTAAAAGTAAGGGCCCTGATGGTATACCAAATCGAATGCTAAAAAATCTTTATCCAGGGGCTGTAATGTATCTTTCAAAACTAATTAATTCTATTTTGTATCAGGGTTACTTTCCTACAAGATGGAAACTAACAGTATTTATACCAAAAAGTAACCATGCTAGCAACTATGCTAAAGGTTATCGGCTAATTAGGTTACTTTCGTGTGTTGACAAAATTGCTGAATCCATAATACTCTCCAGATTAAAAAAATTCGCAAAGTCTACAAATCTTGTACCCCCACACTTATATGGCTTTCGAGGAGGACAGCTACAACAAAACAAATTTTAAGAATCGTAGAGAACAATACAAAAATCTTTAATAACAAAAAATCATCAGTTATGATGTTCTTAGGTATTGAAAAAGCTTTTGGTAGAGTGGCATGTAGGACTTATTTGTAAATTAATTATATACAAGTTTTCAGAACACCTTATGCGCGTGCTATATTCGTTTCTTTGCAATAGATCATTTGTCTTACGAATAGGAGAAGACTTGCCCGCCCTCTGGTACTCACCTTTATTATTCTCTCTATATACACGCGACCTCCCCTTCCCTACCAACAAAGTTTTCCTAGCTCTATACGCTGACGACACTGCCATATTTTGTAGTTCGAAAGCCAATGCATTAGCTATTAAATATGTGAAGGCTTTTATTTATATACCTGAAACATGGTTTTCAAAGTGGATAATTACAACCTACCAAATGCAATTGCGATCGTCTCAAGAAAAAGAAAAAAGGGAGAAATTAAAGCTCTCTCTGTGTCGCAAACATCCTTCCTTGATGCGATTAAGTAAATACTTGGCGTTTGTTATATATAAAGCTATAATCAGACCTATTGATATTTACGCATCTGTCTCATGGTCTTACTGCTCCACTTTTCATATAAACAGCCTTCAAATTATTCAAAACAATCTCTTTAGAATGTTTAAATGCGCACATTGGTTTTTGCGAAACTCCTAATTATATCATGAATGTGAAATTGAACCTCTTGTTTAACCTTAAATGGACGTCTATAAAATGTTTTACACAATATGAACACACTAACGCTTTGAACTATACTTACACATATTTTTTAAAATATAAAACAACTAAACATTTTTTGGATCTATCTTGGAAAACCGAGTATGAAACACCATTAGAACCGTTATTACAAGGTTATAATATTCTAAATTTTGGGGGGAATAAAAGTGTTAGACGCTTAACTCGCAAAGACATAGCTGTCTTTATGTTATGAGAGATGACCCGAGAGGCCTTAATTTGCGAGGAGGTCCCCTCTTCAAACCTTTCAGTAATGAGGGAATTTAAATTAAACCGTTTACGTTATAGCAGATACTACGAATGTAGAATATCAAAACGATAAATGAATAATAAACAATGAGAGTTTTGTTCTTTTTTTGTGACGTCTATTCAGTCTATAGGGCTGTAAAGAAGTTTTAGCTTTATTGTCTAGAGGACAAGTTTAACATATTGTTTTGGTTTATAGGGCCGAAAAGAGCTTTGTTAGGAGCTTAACGTCGAAAGGGCGTGTATAATTAGAGAGCCTAAAAACCCTAAGAAACTTTTAAACAAAAAAGGACTGACTTAACTTAGGAAGAATGGGACCGGTTCGTACTCCTCTTAACAACGTCCTTATAATAACTTTTTCTAGTACCTCTCTGGATTATACTTTCATGTGATCTAAAACTAGAGGGCGAACGTGCTAATTCCAAGATTACGATATTAAATTTTGGCTGGACACTAAACACCTTAAATAAAGTTTCCTTAATCCATTAAAAATATTAAGTAAAACTAGTTTTTACTTACTTGTCCTCTAGACCAAAGCTATTTATTAACTTCAACAAATACGCCCTCTAGATGTTTAGTCTTTGTTTTAGCCTTCTAGATTAATACTATAATCTTTATAATATCGCTGGTCCTCTGGACCAACGTAAAACTAAAACACTAAATCCACAGTTAAAACCGAAAAAGAAGAAAAGGAAGAAACAGTAGAAAGAAAAAAAATGGACGAGCAACCAAGTTTTTTTTTTACTGGCATACTAAGGCCGGTCTTCGTAGGAGACCTTAATCCGCGCTTAATCTGAATTCCCTTCTTTTGTAGAGGTGGGGGCTTGGATGCTCGCCAGCTTACACTCTTTGTAGAGCTATAATGACTGTCCCTAAGGACTGGAAAGCGGGATTTTCTGGCTTGACTTGCCACCATTTGATCTGGTGTGGAGGGAAACTGCTACAAACCACCAACGGGAGAGGCGACCTTGGACATGTCTAAAAAGGCCGCCTAGTGACACCGGCCAGCATCATTGCCAGTCAGGCCTCCCGACTATGAACTCCTCAAATTGATTCTAGAAGGTACCTAATACACAACAAATTGATACCCTCAATTATTCATATTATGAATCCGTGCTGAAAAATGGTTAACTTCTAAACACTATGCGTAGTACTTACTATGCCTGTCCCAAAGTTCCTTTGTAATGAACTTGATAACTGTGCTATGCTCCATAGTATTTAGCGAATTATTAATGAAGTTTTCTTGTGCCAAATTTACATCTGGCACTAGGACCTTTAAGAAAATGAAAATTTTTCAAATATTTATAAAAGCATACGTGTTTTAAAAGCTTCGGCGATCTTTAGTAACTATAATATTGTGATTTTAGCTAAGAATAATAATTCTAAAGGGAGAATGCAAATATCTTTTAAAAACTCGGTTGATTGGAGGGGATAGATAGCATGATTGAAAGTGTAGGAGAGAGAGATTTACTAACTTGAAAATTACTTAAAAACATCGAGTTATGTTTAGCTTTTAGGAATTCTATCTTTAAAACCTTACTTACTCTTATAAGTCCACCTAATACGCTCATATTTGTATCATTTTTACTCTTATTAGGCTTTTAACCCTTGGACTAAAAGGGACCAAAGCGAAAATATTTTCTTCTTTTTATGTCGGACTTGTTTTAGATGTTTTAACTTTGGTCTTTCTTGTGTGTCTGTTCTTGAGTTAATAAACTACATAGCACTACCTTTTTTTGTAAGCGGTGTAAATCCCCGACATCTTCATAGAGCTTATTATTGCTGTGAAAGAACAAACAATAGTATGTGTCAAGAGAAAAAGCACAAGCAAAAAGTTTGTAATTTTTGTCCTACTAATTTTTTAATATATTCCTAGCAATTCTAGGCAAAAGGATGCTTTTAAATAGTTTTAAATCCCTAACAAATTAACTATCCTGCCCTCATAAATGTGTATATTTTAAAAAAAATTTTCTTTGAAAAAACTATTTTAAACCTTGATAAAACGAAAATTTTTTTCTGTTTCTTTTAAGCTGTGCGGTTATAATCACTAATAATAAAATACTTCGCTTCATATTTTACAGAAAAAATGTTAATGTTAAACTAAAACATATTTATAATAAGTATAATGAAAGTTTTAATTCACGGGTTTAACAAGAGTTAATAACTTTGAGAGCTTCACAATATATGCACAAGCAGCCTTTTTGAAGCTTTACTGATATAAAAGTCAGTCTGTGTTTTTACTTAATTTAGAATTATTAAAATATAGCCTTCCCGCTCAATAATATAGACAAATATATATTTCCGGGGCCCTCTACCGCCGTATAGTTTTATTTTCGCGTGTGTATATTTGTGCTTTGAAGTTCTATACCAAGCTACTTGGATGTTGGTTGTTTACCGGATTATATGAAAGACACATTTACACATTTATAATGCTCAAAGAAGGAAAGCGTTGGAATATAGCTAAAGAAATTTACGAGACTGAAACTGCTTACACAGCTTGGCTTGCAATATTAATAAAAGTAAACTTTTGCTTACTACGTAAAACGCAATGCAGTCTCTCATTCCTGCTGATTTACTATTTTTAAACAATTAGTTTAGGGATCAAATCGAAGACATATTCGTAATTCAGGATGACTTTTGTTCAAAAGTTTTTTTTATAGTAGAGTAATATATATATAAGTATACTTTAAGTTATCTGTTACAGGTCGATATCAATATAATCTTCCAAAACGTAGAAGAACTTCGAAAGTTGTCTCTTATACTTCAGCAGGCTCTTAAAGAAGAGCTTGAAGACTGGGAAAATAGTGGCATGATTGGCCGCGTCTTCTTAGAATTGGCAAAACTTTTTTTGCAAATTTTTTTTAAACTACATAAGTTTTGTATACTTAATAAATTATTTTTTTTAAGGTAATGATAATTGTATTTTTAAATAGCACAAAACTGTAAATTTCTAACTTCTTCTTAGCAGAGGGACTGGCTTATGCCTTCAATAATAATTTTTATATTAATTTTTTTAGAAATTTTATTTTTGTTAATTCTTTTTTTTTTCTCAAGCAAATTTTAACGTAATTGATAATCTTGCTAAGAAAAAATTTATTAAGTAGCACGTAGTAATTTAAATAATTTTGTTTCAGATTTTAAGAATATTAAAAAAGTTAACTGTTCACTTACTTTTACCATAATTTAAATTATACTATAAAGAAAAACTTATGGTTTGATAATTTTTAATTTTTATAATTTTTTAACTAATATTAATAAATTTACAAGTTTTTAAATTTTTTTTCTAATGTGACGACTTTATTTATGAAGTTAATAAAATTATTATAATAAACTAAAAGTTAGGCGAAAGGGAACTCAAACTCTACAAGAAGTATATCAACGATTACGATCGCTCACAGCAGAGACTCGATAGTTTTATGAAATTTGAAAAGTTTGCCAAATTTGTTAATGTATGATTAATATAATATTCATAATTTTTTTCATTATATTTGTAGAACAAGTTTTTTTTATTTTCTAATTAATTTAATGAAATTATTTTGCACTAAAAAATAGATTTTATTTTATATTTTTTTCTCACAATTTTTTTTATGCTCCAAAAAATTTCATTTTAATAAATTGACGTGTTTGGAAATATTTCATTTTTTTTATCGAACTTAAAATATATTTTTCCATTATAATGAAATTATATCGCGCTAAAATATTATCAGTCGATTTTGTTATTTGCGTTTTTTTCATATCCTTACATGGAATAAATACGTGTTTGTAAATTTTATCATTATATTTATTATACCCAAATGTTTCTTGCCATTATATTTAATGAAATTATTTCGCTCCAATATTAACAATCGACTTTTTTATTTATTTGTTGTTTTTTTATTTTCTTGTACTGAATTTCCTTTTTGGGAAATCTTTCAATATTTTTTATTGTACTAACTGTTCTTTACATTAAATTCAATGAAACTATATTGAGTCAATAACATTATCGATTATTTTTGTTAAATATTCGTACTTTTTTATTTTCTTGTTCTATAAATGAAAACAATAAATTATAATGATAAATTTCCATTACCTTTATTGAACTACATTTTTTTGTATTCAATGAAATTATTTCGGAGCAATATTACAATGAGATTTCTGTTTTACAGTTTTGCGCTTTTTAAAAAAATATTTTTCTGCTATTTTATATTATTAATTTATATAAATTTTTTATAATATTTTTCTCGTTTACGTTTTATTTTATTAAAATAAGTTTTAATTTTTCTGGACTGTGTTAAGAGCCACTAACATTTAATCATTTTCTGCTAAAAATATTATTGCCTTTTTGGTTACATCTTAACTTTATCTTAACCCTTCAGCCAATAAAAAGATATGAAAGTTTTTTGGAAAGTAAAACATTAAATTTCAAGTTTTGCTTGATTATCTTGTATCCTGGCTAAGCGCCTTGTTTTTGCCCTAAAAATATTTACAAATTATATGATAAAAAATAAAAGTTTTTTATTTTCTACTGAAAATGCTTTACAAAAAATAATTTTATTTTTTTAAAAACATTTTGATTTACTTTTTTTTAGTGTAAAACTATTTTTATATATAAAAGCGAACTGTTTACAACTTTTAATGTTATTATCGGATATATATCTAATAATTCATATTTTAAAAAATTTTATTGTAAATTTTTATTATTATATATTTTATTTTTTTATGTATATTTAGTCATTTTTATTTATTATACTTTCGGATTCAAATTTTCTTTATAGAAACTAGAAAAAGAGGACTATTGCAAAAGACAGAGCTTAAAAGCTTTACTTATTCAACCTGTTCAACGTCTTCCCCGCTATCCCCTTTTACTTGAAGGCATTTTATATTATTATGATTATAATTATTATCATTTTTATTATTTGTTCATGATTATTATTCTAAGCGTTACTAAAAGCGACGAATGGGGGGCATCCGGACTATGAAAATATTAGACAAGCCATTGAAAATATCTCGCAGATGACGCGGAAAGTCAACGACGTCAAACGGCAAGTCGACTACAAAATTGGCGTCTATTCTCTACTGCAACGCATTGAAAATATTAAAGTTTTATTATTATTATTATTATTATTATTATTATTATTATTATTATTATTATTATTATTATTATTATTATTATTATTATTGTTATTATTGTTAGTGTTTTTGTTATTATTATTATATATTTTTTAGACGCAAACGTTCAATTCGCAAAGTAGACTATTGGCTAAATTACCGGCAACCCTCGTGGGGCCCATTTCCCGCATCGGCGTCATTTTATTTCTTTTAAATGATCAAATTGTCGTGGCTGCTACCAATGAGGGTCTTCAAAAGAAGCTTTCTCTCATCCAACACGTGAGCATTCCGGAAATCACGTTGATTGAATTTGAGAGCCCTTCGGGTATTTATAATGAAAAATAATAAATAAAGAATAATAATAAATAATAAAAGCAATAATAAGCACTTAAAAAATAATATTAATAATAACATATAAACAAACAAAAATCCCAGTAACAAATGCTTAATACTAATTAATAGTACCTCTAATATTTTTATAGAGGACGAAGCGGGCCGACCACATCACATCTATCGTGGAGATAAACTGTTCGGATTGGCTGTTCAAGAGGAGAGAAACACGTGGTTGTTTGAGAGTACGCCGGCCGCCAAGGATGAGTTTTTGAGCGCTTTGAAACCTCTTCTTCAGGCAAATAATATTATTTATAACAAAAAAATAAATAACAAAATACATTTTTTAAGGAAAATATGAAAAAGTTTATGAATTCACAGGAAGCAGAATTTTATTTTACGCCGAAGTTTGCACGACAAACTTCAATAAATAAAAAAAAGGTGACATGCTTTTCTTCAAAAAACTTTAAAAAAAAGTTTATTATAAAAGTTTTTACAATATAAATAATGAAATAAATAATCAATAAATAAAAATAATAAAAAAGTTTTTATAGTTAATGATCAGCTTTATAGTAATAATTAAAGTTTTTTATAAAAATAATAATGGTAAAAAATTATAATACATAATTACATAATGGAAACTGGATTATTATTATTATGTTATTATTTTTACTTTTTTTTCTTCTTATACTTGTTATAAAAAATTAATATTATCATTATTCATTAAAAAAACTTTATTATTATTATTTATATGTAATAAATATTTTTTATATGTAAATAAAAATAAATACTAGCAAATTTATATTTTATCAATTTTTATTTAAAAATATTACCGCAATATTAAATTTTTCTATATCTTTATTAGGTTTTTATTTTTTATATATAAAATCTTACTCAACAAATATTAATTATTTACTTTAGTTTTACTTTTTAAAAAAAGGATATTACATTTTTATACTTTGGCTTAATAAGTCTATTTATTTATTTTTTTGTATATAAATTTTTATTTATGAAAAATGTGTAATTTATTTTTATAATACTTTTTCTTTTATTTTAAAAAAAACATTGTTACTACTTTTTCTACTTTTTTTTTATGTTTATTTTATATAATTATAATAAAAACGTATATTACTATTATTATTATTTTTATTAGTTACTAATTATATTTTTTTAACTTTTTAATAAATATCTTTTACTTTATTATTACTATTATTTATTTTACGTATCATTATTATAAAACTTTAAAAGTTTTTTATATTTGCTAATAAATTTTTTAATTGTATATTTTAGTTTTCTATTATTATTAATATACACTTTGAAAGTTTTTTTTACTATTAAAATGTTTATTATTTTTAAAATATTTTTTACGTTACTAAACTTTTTAAAAGTTTTTAGAAAATTTTTAATAAAATTTTTTCTTTTATTTATTTATTATTAATATTCTATATTTTTATTATTTATAACTTTTTTATGTAAAAATTTTTTTATTTTTTAATTTTTTATGTAAATTTTTTTATTTTTTCTTTAATCCTTTTTTTCTTCATTATTTTTTGTAACTATATTTAACTTTTCATATTAATTTTATTAGGTATTTATCATTATATATTAGTTATACGAACTTTTTTTGGTAGAATCTATTACTATTTTAGTAAACATTTGTTATTAATATATTTTTTATGAAATTATTTTTTTAAAAAAATATTTCTACAAACTTTTTATAAGACTTTTTTTATTTATAAAAATATATATTATATGAAAAAAAAATTCTTTTATTTATTATGTCGGAATTTTTTATTGTTAATTTTTTTGTCAATATCTGTTATAATATTCAACCTTTTTTATTTTTTTGTATTACATGAAAACTTATTTTTTTTATTATCCTATTTTTTAATAAATATATTTTCACAAACTCATTTTTAATAAAACTTTTACTTTTTACAACAATGTTTATAATATTTGAGTTTTTTAATTTTTTTATTTATTATTGTATTGGAGCAATTATTAGAACTGTAATATTTATAATATTTATTAATAGAAATGTTTTAAAACTTTTTTATTTTTTATCCCGATATTTTTATAGTATTTATAAAACTTTTTTTTATTATTTACATTTATTTTCATATCAAACTTTTATTATTATTATTATCTGATTTATTTATACAATTTTTTTTATTAGTTATTAATAAATTTTTATTATAAATAAACTTTTTTTATTTTTTTTCTTGTACAATATTATTATAAAAACACATTTATTACTATTATTATCATATTTATATATATAGTATTTATTTTTTATAAGAAAAAATAAATATTTAAAAATTTTTAATGCTTGACTACTTTATTATTACTATTTTTATTTGTAAATAAACTTTTTTATAATTTTTTTTTAGTACTTTATTATTATATAAACTTTTATTATTATCATGTTTATATAAAGTTACTTTTTATATTTATAAGAAAACATTTATCCAGACTTTTTTAAGAAATTTATATTTTATTATTATTATATTTATATTTAAACTTTTTTTTATTTTTTTTCTACTATATTATTATAAACTTATATGTCTTGTAATGAAAGTTATTATTATATATATTGTATTAATATAACAATTTTCTTTTATTATTTAAATATTTATGACATAAAAAATAATTTTTAAGTATTTTATTATTATTATAAATTCCTTTTTTATGATAGACAAATTTTTTTTTTTAATACTAATTTTTTTAAAAAAATTAATTATCTAAATACTTTCTTATATTTTCCCATTTTTTATTTTTATTTATTATATATATTGATATTTTTACTTTTTATTATTATTTTTATATTATATATTTATGTTTACTATAATCTTTATATTTTACTTTCTTATTTTTATTAACTTATAAAAAATTTACTTTTCTTTATTTTTTCTAATAAAAAATGTAAACTTTATTTTTTTTTTAAATTTTTCTTTTTTTAATATTATTTATTACAACTTTTACTTACTATACTTATTATCGTTAAGGTTCACTTTAATCTTCGTGACGTGCTTAAGGAGATAACAAAACCTTTTGAAAATAAAAATAATAAAGAAACTAAAAAGGAAGAAATAAAAGTATTTCTCATTATCTTATTATTAGTGTTTCTTATTTATATTTATAGTATAAACTTTTTTACTTTTTACAATTATTTTTATACATTATTTTGTATATTTTATTTTTTAAAAAAATTAAGTTTTATTTATTATTATTATCTCCTCTATTTTCTGTTATTATTGAATATTTTACTAGTTAATAATATAAATTTTTTTATAAAATTAATAATCGTATATTTTTTCATAACTTTTTATAAATTTAGTTATTAAAAAGTTATCAAATTTTTACTTATTTACGTAATATTAATTATAAAATATATTTTATTATATTTTCTTTAAATTTATAAGTAATAAATCAAATTATATTTATTTATTATTATCCTGTTATAATTACTTTATATTCATGAGTAATAAATCTAAATTATATTTATATATTATTGTTTTTATATATTTTACTTTTTATTAATATGAATTTTATAATGAAAATTATAAATCAAATTTATATATATTTATTATTATAATATAAATTTCATTATAATATATCTATATTACGAATTTTCATATATTATTATTTTTATATTTTTTGTTAATAACATAAATTTTTTTATAAATTATTAAATGTATTATAACTTTTTATAACTTTATAAATAATAATTTATTTTTAATTAATTATTATTATCACTATAAGTTTTACTATTTATTATATAAATTTTTATATTAAAAAAATAAATGTATATTATAATTCATGTTTTTATGTTTTATTAGTATTATATATTTTACTTGTTAATAATATAATTTTTTTTATAATAATAAAAAAAAAAGAGTATGTTATATTATAATTTTTGTATATATTATATTATGTATACTTCTTTTAAATATTATTTATAATTTTTAATATTAATAAAATATTATATTATTTTATTATTTCTTTAATTTTTACCTTTACATAATATAAAAGTAATAAAAGTATATCACGCTTGATTTTGATAAACTTTTTATATATAATCTGAACTCTTTATGTCATTATACTTTAAATTTTATATTTTTTATAATAAAAACTTTTAAAAATTTGTTCTTTTTCTTTTTATTCATTTGATTCTCCTTTTATATCTAAAAAGCTTCTATACAACTAAAAAAATTACCCTTAGTTACTATTATTAATAAGGTTTTTTTATTTATTATAGTTTTTTATAAACTGTGTAGCTTCTATACTTTTTTGTTTATTATATTTAATATATTAAACTCTTAAAATATTTTTTCTGTATTTATTATTATAAACTTTAAAAAACTTTGAAACATTTTTAAAGAAACATAATTTTTTTATTAATATTTATATCTTTAACTATAGCAATTTATTAAACTTTTTTCTTTTTTTAAATACCGATTTTTTTTATTTTTTTTTTTGAAATATTAAAATATTATGTACATATTTTTTACTATCTTTAATTATTTTATTTATTTTTTTATAAAATATTTATTTATTATAATAACTTTTTCTTATTTTTACTTTTATACAACTTAACGAAGACTATAAAAAGAAGTGAATCCCATCGATTTTGCAAATCTCCTGCAGATATCGAACTTTTGCCGGCAAAAAGTTTACTTTTATTAAGAAAAGTTTCATTATTCATTTACTTTTATATAAATTCTTTTTTTTACCTTCATATTTAAACATTAATAATAGTTTTATTCATAATATATTTTATGTATAAAAGTATCTTTTTTTTACTTCATACAAAATTCTGTTTTTTATTTATAACTTTTTCTTTACTACTATATTTATTTATTCATAAATACTATATTATTATAAAAGTTTTATTTGAAAACTTTTTTCCCTTATTTATATACAATTTTGTTTCTTTTTTAATATTTATATATTTTTATATGTAAATATCTAAAGAAATTTAATATTTTTTTAATTCTTATTATTTTTCTATATACTATTTTTCTTGTTTTTATAAAAGTAATATAATTCTTATAAAATTTTTACTTTTTTTAAATATTTTTTTATATATAAAAAAATTTCTTTTTCATTTTTATGTACAATTTGCTTCCTTTAAAATTTTTTATCTACTATTATATTAAAATATTTATGAAAATTATATATTTTTTATACTTTCTTACTGAAAAAAATTTTCAACTTTTTTAATATTCTTTTTTCTTTTTCAATTTTGTTATTTCCTTTATTATTTTATTTATACATATTATTATTTTATCGATATTTTATATATAATTTATTTATTATTCTCATATATTTATATATATATATTTCATTTTTTATATTTCTTTCAGCAAATTCTGATACTTTTTAATATTTTTATCTACTTTATTTATTTATAAAAAAAATTTTAATATTTTTTTTATACAAAAAATATTCCTTTTTTAGTATTTTTTTATTTTTTATTTTTTATTTTTAAAATAACTAAAGCTTTAAAGTTTTATTTATTACAGTAAAAAAATATTATTATAAAAGATCCGCTCACTTACAGTAAATCCGTCACAACTTCCCGAGCGGCGTTGTCTTTTTCGAGTTTTGCAACCTCAGGTTTTTTCTTATCAATATTATTATTGTTATATTAATTTTTATTATTTATCATTATTCTCTATTATTATGTACTATTTTTATAATTATTATTATTTATTATTAGTATTATAATTTTAATTTTTATTATTATTTACTAATGTTATTAATATTATTTATGATTATTTACTATTATAATTGTCATTATAATATTTTATTTAAAAAATAAAAAGCAAAGTTTACTAGAATAACGCATCCGCAGACTTATAAGTCAAGCATAAACCATAAAAATGTTATAGTTAGACGTCCGTCTCACCAGAAGGTTTACTATTTATTATTATTATTATTATTATTATTATTATTATTATTATTATTATTATTATTATTATTATTATTATTATTATTATTATTATTATTATTATTATTATTATTATTATTATTATTATTATTAACCATTATTATCATTACTATTATATTATTACTTTTATATTAACGTTGTCATGGAGAAACTTAAAAGTCTCCAATTTTTTTTATCGGGTGCGATGATATCTATTTGGCTGCAAATAAACTAGAAGAACTCAACTATTTTGTAGTATCCAATATCACTCCTCTTTATCATTTGGTTGACTAATAAAAACTTCGCAAAGTGCACTATGTCCAATCAATATTTAGGAGATTAATAAGTTTTCTAATCCCTTAACCTAGCCTATCATCTTTAACCTTACACTGATTAACCAATCAGCTTTTTCAAGGATAACAACTTAATTCTATTTACTCTTTATTATAATATAATTATTATTTATAACTTTCATGTAAATATTCATATTCATTTTTTTACAACTACTATATATTTTTTTTGTTTTTATATAATAAACTTTTTTCTTGCATTTATTAATATTATTAATAAAAATCTATAAATATACAAATACAAAGTAATAATAAAAACGTATATTTATTATTACTATAAATATTATTATTTATTACTGTAAAGCATCAAACTGCAGTGGCAAGAAGGCTCAATAGTTTTCCTGCTTACGATGTTGAAGATCTTGAAAGTGAGGTAGGTTTCTGACTGTCATTTATTTTCACTTCTATTTGCTGCTTTTTTTATTTTGCAATATAATTATTATTTTTTTTCTATATTATTATTTTTATTATAATAACTATTATAAAATAAAGTTTTATATATTTTTATAATAAATATTATTTTTTTAATATTTTAATTAATAATTATAAAACAAATATCTCTTATATTTTTTTTAGTATTATTTCTAATTTTTATTTTTTTATACAAATTTATTATTACAATAAATATAATTTTTGATAAATACATATTGTTATAATTTTTTATTATACTTTATAACAATTTTTTTACTTTATATATTTTACTATTATTTACTTTTTATTATATATTTATACTAAAGGAAGCGTTTTCTCTTATATATAAAAATAGCAATAAACCACTTAGACCAACTTCTGAAGATGCTGAAAGTTTTCTTTTTATTATTATGAATGAAAATATTTTTTATTTATTTTTTTTGTAGTGCTTTCTAGTGATAGTGGTAAGAGCGTCTTACTAAAGGCCTCCATAACAGAGTAATTTTTAATTATAATAATAATAATAATAACTAAATATCATCAATTATGTCATTTTTCAATTGATTATTTTTAATGAATATATTATTATTATTTTCATAGATAACTTTTTTATAATATTTTAAAAAAAAATTTTGGTATTATTATTTATAATATTTATATATATATAAATAAACTTTTGAAAGTTTTTAAGTAGTTTTTCCTTAATAGTATAAACAATATTTGTATATTTTTACATAAAAGTTTTTATTGACTTTTATTTTTTCTATAGTATTCCGTTATTATTTTTTAAAAAATTATGTTATTATTATAATAATAATAATTATTATTATTACTATACTTATTATTATTATTAAAGTTGCAACGGATGTGAAAGAAACTATTCTGTTGGGGATGACGACATTATTAGTTACGAGACGGAAGAAAAAGTAATCTGTTATAAAAACAAGAACAATAATATTAATAATAATAATAGCCGGAACCTTCACTACTTGAGTTAAAGAATAGTATAAATGAAATCTCTAAAAAATTTACAACTGCGCAAGAGTTAATATACTTTCCTATTGAACTTTTATATTATTATTTATTATTAAATAACATTTTTTATATAAATATTTTTTTATTACTTCTGTAACAGTTTCAAATTATTTAAAAAATATTATTTTTTTTATTTTCCTTTAAACTTTATTTACTATTCCACAGAATTTCAATAAAGTTAAATATAATATTTTTATATTTTCCTTTAAACTCTTATTATTATTTACTATCCTACAATATATTTATATAAATAAGTTATATTTAAATTTTTTTTCTGAAAATGTTTCTTATTTATTCATATTATTTACTGCAATAAAGTTTGATATAATATTTATATTATTTTCCTTTAAACTTTTGTATGATTATTAAAAAATTTCATATTATTTTTATATAAATATAATATTTTATTATTCTGAATTTTTTTTTCGTTATTATTTATTGTATTCATTATTATTTTAGTGTAAACATCCAATCATTAGCTTTAAAACCTCTACCAATCACATCAACGCGTTCTGATAAACAGGAAACTCGTTTAAAGAAGTTTATTACTATTATTTTACTTTTTAGTTTATATTTTTTTTGTTAAACTTTAACAGATTTACTTATTTTTATTATTTTTATTAGAAAAAAATCAGAAAAACTTTTGAACTTTTTAAAAATGAGTAACTTTTTTTTATAAATATAATTATTATTTGTATTAGAAAAGTTTATATATACGTTTATTTGTTGTACTAAACAAACCTTTTTTTTATTTTATGAAAGTTTATTACTTTTTTTAAATAAAAGAAACCTGAAATTGTTTGCTATAAGAAAAAATTTGAAGAGCGTTTGTCAAAAAAAAAAACAGCAGCTTGAAAATTTTTTTAATCAATAAAAATTAAGGTTTACCATTTGTCATTATTTTAATAGTCTGCGTATAGCGAGGTTTTGTATGGATGTGACCAGGGTTATAGAGCTCGTATTGCGGTGACTCTTTTTTTTCAAGAGTTAAAAATAGCACAAGTTAAGTTTTGTACAAAATATACTTTTTATACTATTAACTAAAACCGTGCTTCCTGCATTATTAATAAAAATTTTAAAGTTAATTTTATAAAAAAAATGCATTTATACTTTGCAGAAAAAAAAAGCTTAAATACTTTTTTCCTTTATAAAATAAATAACGCGCAAAATGCTTTATAAATAATATAATTACTGCTTGGTAATTTTGAATAATTATTAACATATAATGCTTTAAATGAAAGTAATAATATTAAAAACACGTATAGCAACTAAAGAAAACTATTATCTTCTTTACTATATATTTAAAAATCTAAAAGAGTGTAAGTAGAAAATTGTAATTTAGTACATTAGCTTAAGTTGATGGAATTACAACTCGCTAAAGTCGACATAATCATTAGCTTAACTTTTTATCATTAATGACCAAAAAACCAACAAAACTACTGCAGAAATAAGGTCTAAGTTAAAATCCTTTTCTTTGGGAGTAAATGGACAAGATTTATTTTCCCTCAGCATTATAATATTCACGATACGTTAATTTAACATAGTAAATATTTATGTTAGACTAGAATTGAAATTTTTTTTTGATCATCTTTGTTATTATAACAAAAATAGAGACAAGTTCATAATATGAGTTACACAAGAATTACAAGCTAACATTTTTAAAAAAAGATTTTTGACTTCCTCTTCTTTTCCCGCACAGCCCCAGTAGGGGCCCCTTTCCTCCACTTATAATATTCTCCCAAATATTCAATATATTAGCTTTATTTAACTATGTCATAGAACCTTTTGCTTTTCAAATATATTACATTGCCACTTTCTAAGAATATTCGTCATATATTATAAGTCAAGTGGAGTTACTTATTTTTAGAACGACATAAAAATAAAAAAAATTGAATTTTGTCGTTGAAATGTTTTACCCAAGCAAAGGAATGACGCTGCTTTTTGTAACATGCCCTTAATAGAGAAGATTTAAACTTTAGCAACGTTTTGCATGCATGGAGTAGCACCCATTTTGAATCCATTATTATATAAATGGGAACAATTATTTAATTGAAATCATTTCGAAATATATCACATATATATTTACATTTCCAATTTTAGTATAATATGAGTGAGTGGTTATGAGGCCTATGCACTTCTCTTTATTTTTCGAAAATTTCGCTAAAAATTCTTACCTTCTAAATATAATTATTCATCCTACCTAATGGAGTTCTTGAAAACTTTCACTTTTGGCAATCTTGACATAATGATTTAAATTCTTTGTTATGGTATAAAGCTTTTGAATACACTGGGGTTCCGTTAATGGAAAGCCGACCTATAGAAACAAAGGCTAATTTACTGGGGTTGTTATTTAGAAACTTTAAAAAGAGTCAACAGCTGTAAAGTTAAAGAACCTAGAAATTGTTTATTATATTAAAAAATGTCACTAAAAGATGCTAGGTCCACCTAAAAATTATTTCCAAAATTAAATATTAATTTTTACTTTAACTTTTAACTTAAACTACAGTGCCAACGCACATGAAGAAGACGAGAACCCTCAGACGTGATGGATATCGCCGAGTTTTTATTATTTATAGTTCACGGTAGTGGAGGTCCTTTACGAGTGATCTGCCAATTTTTCTCGTCATAAACGATAAAAAGGAGGTACCAAGGACATTTATCAGGACTTTAAGGACTGAGAGGGATTCTTCTAGTCCCTGGACACTGCAAATGGTATAGTGGTTTAATTACAAAAGTTAAAGGAAAAGGCACAAAGTTACCTTCGCTGGAGAAATTGTAAACATTGTGCAGGACCACGAAATGCGACCACTTGTCATGACCTTGGGTGACGAAGGAACTTTCTCCATTCCCATAGATGCTCACGAGGCACTGAAGGATAAAAAATGGTCCAGGCCTATGAAAGAAGAATTGTTTTCTCTAAAAGAGAAAAAACACCTGGGACTAGCCCCATTTGAAAAAGACACAGTGGTCAAAGACTAAAAGATGGTTTTTTTTAAGGCAAATAACTGCTTTGGAGGCTCCATGCAAATTCATGTACTGGAATATCAAGAGTGCTCGACTCCTGGTTTGAGAGAAACCACAAAATTGTTAACTGTTGTGGCATCCCACCTGAAGTTGCATCAACTGCAGTTTGATTTAACAATGCGTACCTCAACGGTATCTGTCGATGTTAAATTATTGCACAAAAATACCCATTAGCTTCCATCTAGTCTATAGGGGTAATACTGAAGGGCAGTGCTTACCCCATTAATGAAGCATTGTATGGGGACCGAGCAAGGAGGCCACCTGTGATACGAACTTAAAAAAAATTAAAGGTTGGGGGGTCCCAGCAATCAGCACTGGTGCCTTGTGTCCTATACTTTCCCAAACGCTACCTCATTGCTATGCGCTCTTTACGTAGAGGACCCACGCATTCCTACAAGCGATGGCAATAAATAAAGAGACATGATCAAATCTATGGGTTTTGAGTATAAAGGTCACACTTGATTTCTTTGTGAGTCTTAGTATTAAAGAAGATGACGAGAAGATAATATTTGCTCAAAAAAGTATGATATTTAAAATTTTGGAGTTCGAGTTTACGGCTGCTAAGCCTGCCCTTTACCCAATGAGCAGCTCACCTTTTCAAAGGCTTACGAATATTTCTTATAGTTGCCCTTATAACGAAATCTTAGGGTCAGTTCAGTACTCGGCGAATGGGCCAGGCCTGATATAGCTACTGCAGGTCTCACTGAAGACTCAGGTGTAGTGTCCCATAGTTTGGGGATTGAAAGAACAAGTGTTAAAGTCTTGTCCTCTGCAGAGACCTTGTAACCGCCTTAGCATCTTGCTTACGATACGTTAAGTGGATGCAAAGCTTATTAATAGAATTACATCTGCCCTTTTGAAAAATTTTAGAGTAAAACGTTGATAACCAGCAATACGCATAGCCATGAGTGGGCATGTGGGGGGAAACAGGGACGCCATCAAATAGTAGTGAAAGAAAAAACTAAGACTGGGGTGTCCCATAATCCGAAGAAGAAAGCAATGAAGACAATGAGATCTTTTTTGCTGACCATCTAGCTTCCCATTGTTCGCCGTCTACCCCCCCCCCCCCCCCCCCCCCCCCTAACCGCTCCTCTTGCGCTTGGCTTTTTTTCGACTAATACAACATATTTTTGGAGCGATCTACCACAGAAAAGATCTGTCAACGTAATACCGAAGAGAAAGGCGCTTAACCCTGACGGCATTACTTAACTAACGTTAGCAGCTGACAGAGGCTATGAATCATCTATGCTGCCTCGTCAACTCGGTGTTTGAACTATTTAACCGGCCGGTGGAAAATGACGGTAGTCGTGAGGTTACCAAAGACATCGCAAGTGGTATAAAAGCATCGTAACTATTGATCCATCAGTCTTTTACCGGGAGTTAGTAAGACAGCTGAAGCAGTGATAATCTTTTGAAGTCAGTTATGGAAGCACGTGGAATTTTACCAGAGTTTTAGTTTGAATTTCGCAAGGGGCACTCCATGGCCCCACAAATCCTCCGCCTAACCGAGTGAAAGACCAGAGCCTTTAAACTTAAGAAAGTCACCGGTGTGGTCTTTCTCGATTTTGAGAAGGCCTTTGACCGAGTATGGTATGGTAGCCTGTTGTGCAAATTACATTTTCTGGCGATACCTCGCAGCCCTCGAAAACTCCTCAAACCGTACCTAAACGGCCGGGTTTACAACGTGCGAGTAGGCACTGCACGCTCGTCGCCTCGTTATCTTGCAGCGAGGCCCCACAAGACACTTTTCTATCACCGCTGCTATTTGCACTCTATACGAGCGGACTTCTTCTCCCAGTCCATCCGCTGCTCGCCATTTAAGCCAATGATACGATGATTTAAAAGTCATTTGTTTTACTAATGTCAGCACCTACAGTTTTATCCCGACGCGCTTGCTAGCTGGTGCCGTCAATGGGGTTTCCCCATTTACCAGCAAAGATCAAGTTGCATCTTATAACGAAGAAATACCATGCGCTGCCAACTTCTTTAAATTATAACCGCATGGAAATTCCGTGCGGCCCAGATTCATTATTTTGCAGCAAAAGTAAACTTTCATTGCGCCCTAAGCGAAGGCTTTATGTGCTGTGCATTTGCCGATTATAAACTATGCATTTCCTTCCTCTGAGCCTACGGTTTATCGGCAATAACGTCCTCACTTTAAGCGACAAAACAAACTGCTGGCCCTTTCTTACAACCGCACCGTGGGTTGCGCACAGGACACACTTCAGCACGGACTAGAGATTGAGTTGCTGACCACAATCTTTGAAAACGATGCAAACGGATAGCTGGAAACGCTAATCTCCTTTTAGAGTAAGTATTCACTTACCAGTTGTAGGACAGCGGGCTCTTTGAATGACAGTTGAAAGCCAAGTTGGGGGGAATTTAACGTGAAGGACATGTGAAGATAACAATTCTACTTTACTCGTGGACGACTAAAAACTTGTTTGAGAGCTCGCGCGTTCGAAGATACTAACTTGATCGAGGCAAGCAACGCCGTTAATAAATAAATAAATATAAAAATCCTACTAAGAGAAGAACAGTAAAAAGGATCTTTACTGATATCTATGTTTTAGACGAAGGTTCTATGCTAAGTACCTCGGCATAATAATTAACTTTAAACTAAACTGATGTATCCGCACTACTTATGCTTTTAATAAAACTGACTATTAGAGATGCTTCTCACTTTTTCTTTTTTTTAAAATAAACTAAGCTTTAGATACAAACTGATTTTATTTGAGCTCCTCATAGATTGATGTATGCGTTTTGCTAATTGACTTTCAATCTTAGAGTCCTTTCTCTGTATGCTAACAGAGGCGTTATGAATTG